GATTATTGTATGTCGATTGGAATTGATGTTGAACACTCAGTTGCCCATGTTCATACCCAAAATGGCCTGGCAGAGTCATTCATTAAGAGATTACAATTAATTGCTAGACCTTTGCTTTTAAGGTCAAACTTGCCTACCTCTTGTTGGGGGCATGCCATATTACATGCTGCATCATTGGTGCGTATAAGACCAAGTTCTTATCATTCCTACTCACCATTCCAATTGACTTCTGGCCAGCAGTCAGATCTCTCTCACTTAAAAATATTTGGTTGTGCGGTGTATGTTCCTATCTCTCCACCTCAACGGACAAAGATGGGCCCACAAAGACGACTAGGAATTTACGTTGGTTTCGATTCCCCATCTATCATTAGATATATTGAACCATTGACCGGCGACTTGTTTAAAGCAAGGTTTGCTGATAGTCATTTTGATGAGACAGTTTTTCCACGGTTAGGGGGAGATAAAACCCTAATTCCTATAGAACAACGTGAAATTACTTGGAATGTACCATCTTTGTCTTACTTGGACCCACGCACGAATAAATGTGAACAGGAGGTGAGACGAATAATACATTTGCAAAATATTGCAAATCAATTGCCAGATGCATTCACTGATACAAAAAATGTGACGAAATCTCATATACCAGTTATTAACACACCTGCACGTGTGGACGTCACAGAGGAACAAAATAATGAAGCACTAAAACCACGCATGAAGCGTGGACGTCCCCTTGGTTCGAAAGATAAGAATCCTCGAAAGAAAAGGGTACAAGAGATGAAGATCTCAAATGATAATAATATTTCAAATCAAGAAAATGCTATACAAAATATGACTGATCAGTCTGAAATTGTTAAAGGAAAGACCTATGAAGAGGTACATGCCCCTGAAGAGGATTGTCTAGAAGGTTTGAGATCTGAAGAGATATCCCTAAATTATTTGAGTACAAAAGAGAGTTGGGATAGAAAAAAGGTGATCATCGATGATATTTTTGCTTATAGTGTTGCATTAAATATTACAAATGAGGATCCTGAACCAAAATCTGTAGAAGAATGTCGACATAGAAATGATTGGCCAAAATGGAAAGAAGCAATACAAGATGAGTTAAAATCTCTAGAAAATCGTAAAGTTTTTGGACCTATAGTTCAAACACCTGAAGGTGTAAAGCCCGTTGGGTTCAAATGGGTATTTGTGCGGAAACGCAATGAGAAAAATGAAATTTTCAGATATAAGGCAAGACTTGTTGCCCAAGGTTTTTCACAGTGGCCTGGAGTCGATTATGATGAGACATATTCACCTGTGGTGGACTCAATTACATTGCGTTATTTGATTAGTTTAGTAGTCACAGAAAGACTTGACATGCGTCTTATGGATGTTGTTACAACATATTTGTACGGATCTTTAGATAATGAGATTTACATGAAAATCCCCGAAGGATTCAAAATTCCCAATGCATGCAATCAGAAAGCTCGTGAGTTATTCTCAATTAAGTTACCGAGATCATTATACGGATTGAAACAATCTGGTAGAATGTGGTATAACCGTCTTAGTGAATACCTTGTTAGAGAAGGCTACATAAATGATCCAATTTGTCCATGTGTTTTCATCAAGAGATCTGAAGTTGGATTTGCTATCATAGCAGTATATGTAGATGACCTAAACCTTGTTGGAACACCATAAGAGTTAATAAAGACTGCAAACTATTTAATGAAAGAGTTTGAAATGAAAGATCTTGGGAAAACCAAGTTTTGTCTCGGCCTGCAGATCGAGCATGTATCGAATGGGATTTTTATCCTTCAATCAACATATACGGAAAAGGTCCTAAAACGATTTTAGATGGATAAGGCACACCCATTGAGCAGTCCCATGGTTGTTCGGTCATTGGATGTAAAGAAGGACCCTTTTCATCCTCAAGAAGATAATGAAGAACTTTTAGGTCCGGAGGTACCTTATTTAAGTGCTATAGGGGCGCTAATGTATCTTGCAAATTGTACAAGACCTGATATAGCCTTTTCGGTTAATTTGTTGGCAAGATATAGCTCAGCACCAACACGACGACATTGGAATGGTGTTAAACATATCTTACGTTATCTTCGTGGAACAACCGATATGGGCCTATTTTATTCAAAAGGTTCAGAATCGCAAGTTGTTGGTTACGCTGATGCTGATTATCTTTCTGACCCACATAAGGGTAAATCACAAAGTGGATATTTTTTACTTGTGGTGGTGCTGCAATATCATGGAGATCAGTAAAGCAAACACTAGTTGCAACCTCATCAAAGCACTCGGAGATAATGGCGCTATATGAAGCAAGTCGAGAATGCGTATGGTTAAGGTCAATGGTTCATCACATTCGAGAAACTTCTGGATTATCTTTGAATAAGGCTCCATCATTACTCTATGAAGATAATGCTGCTTGTATTGCACAAATTAAAAGTGGCTACATCAAAAGCGACAAGACAAAGCACATATCACCAAAATTCTTCTATCCGCACAAGCTTCAGAAAAGTGGAGACATTGAGGTTCGTCAGATACAGTCATGCAATAACCTTGCGGATTTGTTCACAAAGGCATTGCCAACTACGACATTTAGGAAGATGATCAATGGTATTGGAATGCGTCAACTCAAGGATCTTTTGCCATGTCCAGGGGGAGCATTATAAGCACTGTACTCTTTTTCCTTCGTCCAAGTTTTTGTCCCATTGGGTTTTTCTTGGCAAGGTTTTAACGAGGCAGTGTCTTAAGCTCAAGTCTACCTAAATGGTGAACATCCAAAATCCAAGGGGGAGTGTTATGTACAAATGTCTTTTGATGTTCTCCATGTCTTTTGATAATCCCCATTAAGATTAGACTTTTTGCTTTCCCCTTTGTAAGCCTATATATATAGAGGCTCTATGTGTTGAAATTATATATCATTCTCTTTGATCTCTTTTGCATTCTTTCTCCTTTGATTCTCCATTACACTTTGATCTTTGGTTTGTGCTATCAAGGTATATCTCTATCATTTGTTCATAACGATATTCGTATTATCTTTATTTCTAACATCCACGGTATATTAGTATTATTATTTTTTCTACATGCATGGTAATACATGATTTATTCTTACTACAAAGTAATTTATGATTTAGTTATTATTTCTATATTCAATACTTAACATATGTGCCACAATTTCTATGTATTACTTTGACATTTTTTTATATTTAATTTTTTTTATTTTATTTTTATTTTTTTAATTGTGTCTTCCTTAAATGCATAAAATTATATATTTAAATTTCTTCATAAAATATTTGGCACCGAATCTTTAAATGGAAACATAATTAAATTGAAAGCTTATTTTCTTAACATAATCACACCGTAATAAATTAATAATGATTAAATATGGTAATATTAAGTTTGGCCATGTTCTCTAAATGGAAACATTTTTAAATTGAAAGCTTCTTAGATTAGAATTATTAGATGATAATAATTACTAAGTACGGTAATTTTATTACACAATATATTATTATCATTCTTCTTACATGGTAATAAATTAATAATGATTAAATACGGCAATATTATTACACGATATATTAATATTATTATTCTTGTTACACGGTAATACATGATCTATTCTTATTACACGATGATTTATGATTTAATTATCATTTATTTATTCAACACTTACTATATGTACCACCATTTCTATGTATTACTTTGACATTTCTTTTAGATTTGATTTCTTTCCGTAAAGGAAACAAATGGTTTGTATGATTAAAATGATTTGTATGATTAAGGGTCTGTTTGGGAATAGCGTTAGCGATTAGCGTTAGCGTTTTGAAAAGGCTATCTACGGGTAGCGTTTAGCGTTAGCGTTTTTAAAATAATCTACACCGTTAAAATTTTATCCAAAACGCTAACGCTAATCTCTAAAGTTATTCCCAAACAGGCCCTAAAATGGTTTGTTTCTAAATTAGAAAAGGAAACAAATGGTTTGTATGATAAAAATGGTTTGTTTCTAAATTGGAAATTATATAAATTACAAAACTGTAAATTTAATGCATTGATTAAAAAATTTACAAACTAACGTGATTATTACCTTTTATGGACAAATATTATTTTTAGTTGAATGGTAATCATTTTTTTATTATATCAATTCCAATTTTATAAAACAGTTTGGTATTAGAAAAGAAGTTTATATAAATAATATTTTTTATATTTTGTTTCCTTTTTAGAAATATATTAGGAATGCAAAATTTCCTTTAATTTATCATTCTAAATAAGAATAGAGTAATTAAGTAATTATGCATGCGAAATTATTCTAAAAAGGAAACAACGTAGATCTTGTTTGCGAAATTAGTCCCTTCCTTTTTTATCATAATTAAGTAATTATGCATGCAAAATTTTCTTTAATTTATCATTCTATTATTCTTAAAAGTATTTCCTTTTAAGAATATAATGATTAAGTAAATAATTACCTATTTAATTAGGCATAAATAATTACTTTTTGAAAAAATAATCAGGCGTAAATTATTCCAAGTAATTATAATAATAATAGTAATAATTAGGCATAAATATTTACCTATTTAAAAAGGAAACAAAATATAAAAAATATCCTGCACCGTCCCTTCTTTTTTTATCACAATCAATTAGGCGAAATTAGTTAGGAAACAAATTACTCCCTTCCTTTTTTATCAGAATAGAGTGATTATGCATGCAAAATTTCCTTTAATTTATCATTCTAAATAGGTAATATTATACAACCAATCATAGCCGTAGATCTTATTTGTTTCTTGATATCGATGGTGCAGGAGATGAGTGCATTCGGCGGGAAAATAATTCCACAGCTTTTAAGAATAGAGTGATTTAACAAAGGTAACCGATGCTAATTCTATTATATGTTTTTTAATATTAAATCGGAACAAGCAAAGGCATGGATTTTTCTCTACGGGATGCTAATGATTTATATTTAGGGGCTGTTTGTTTCAGCGTTTTAATGGTTCAGATGTCTGAATGATTCAGCACTTAATGGTTTAGACTCTTTGTTTCAGCCTCTTAATGGTTCAGATGTCTGAATGGTTAAGAGATTTGCCTCTGAATGATTAAGTATTATACAGAGTCTGAATGGTTAAGAGCTGTTATCTGAATTGATCAGACATTTGCCTCTGAATAGTTAAGCAATATACTAGCTCTTAATGGTTCAGACCTCTTACTGGTTCAGCACTTAATGATTCAGATCTCTTACTGGTTCAGCACTTACCCATTCAGAAGTTGCCAAATAGCTTGTCTAAACAATTTCTCCCTATTGTAAATATCTTTCACGAAGAATCCATATGTTTACTAGATTGAACCAGGAATTCGGCGACAGACGCAACTTCGCAGCACCCATCCAGAGATTGAACGAGGAACCGAGGGTTTCCGCTGCACTTTGAGGCTGTTATAGGCGCTGAACCCGCTGGTGGTTTCCAGGTACGCCACCGCCTGAAAGTCCAATGCCACCGCTGCGCTGAAGTCCCATCGGCGCGGAAGTCCAACGCCACCACCGCCGCGCTGAAGTCCTGGTACGGTCGGACAACACAGTACCGCGACCTGTCTACTAGGTATTTTCCTTATTTTCAAGTTATTCTTTGAATTTATATGTGTGAATTTGTACATGTTATTCCCAATTCTTTGAATTTCTATGTGTGAATTCAAATAATGGTTACTTATTTTGAATGAGATAAAATCAATTCGATCTTTTTAGTCACTTCTTAACTTCTATTTTGAAGTTTTATACAAAACAGATGCTAAAGGTACAAAACAACCAATGCCTTTGCCCTTATATGAACTAGTGCCCTCATGTAATAAACGATGAAGAAAACAAGTATAGAACAACAACAATAACCCAGTTAAATCCCACAAGAGTAGGGTCTGGGGAGGGTGTGTGTACGCAGGCCTTACCCCTACTCGAAAGTTGAGAGTCTGTTTCCAAAGAGACCCCTGGCTCAACGTCGAAAGTTGCATTACTTGACTAACTGCTACTTCATTAATTAAAGAAGCGCAGACAGTTTAGAGATCCATTTTGATTTATTCCATCACACCCCAAAGCCAAAAAATGGTGAAATTTTGGCTCCATCGGAGATGATGGAAAGAAATGATTTTTTAATACTACTTACTTTATTATAATGTAGAATCTGTTCATACTTTTCTCAACCGAATGACACACAATGAGTCAACGTCTCCGCCTCCAATGTGGCTCGAACCTGGGTAAACTTTCTCTTAAATTCTGGAGAGTGTGCTTCCTACCAATTAACAATCTGACATTAAAAAATGATGTTGTCGAGGAAAATAAGGAGAGAACCATTAGTAATGCTCTTAGGCTATCCCTAGTACTCTTTCCACTCACTTGAAATATGCAGCCAACTTATCATCACATCAGGGTTGAGCCATTGAGTGCACTCATCTTTTCGCTCCCACATGGGCTATGTGGTATGGTGATGAAAAAATGGGTGTGATGGGAGATGATGGAGTGCAAAATATATGATGTGGAATGATGAAAAAATGTGTGGTATGGTGGAAGTGATTGAGTGATAGGTGTAGAGTTGTGTTGATATTTGATTGGTTGAAAAGAAAAAAAATAACAAAATAAAATAAAAACGGGTCACCGCCACCACGCCTTCCCGTCACCCACTTTCACCTCACAACACCACGTAGTCTTAACTTATGTAATACTCCACTTGCACTGAAATGATTACACAATTAATAACTTCTTTTATTTATATTTATATTTAAATTAATTTATATTTTTAAATTAAAATAAATAATTTGCATTTAATAATTTTTATTTTGTGTATTTTTTTGTTTGATTTTTTTGTCCAAACTTGTTTTTTGTCTCCTGTTAAACCTCTTTTTTTACTTTCTTGTATTAAATCTTGCTTCATATATGACATGAAAGAAAAAATCAGATCTGGAGATCTAAACAGAGTATTTTATTGTTATGAAACTGCTGTCCAGAACTATGTATCCATACATATAAATAGAGGACTAAACAACAGAACCATTACAAATAGACACAACAGTTTCTAACCAACACATCTATTGGAAACTGTCATAAAAACTGTAACTAGTAACTGCCTGCCTTTTTTATAAATTTAAACTAAATCCAGGGCTGGAATTAACCAACATTCACCCCCTTGATTCCAGTCCTCATTCCTACCAAATCTTCAATGCCCATCAGTTGCCTCATCTCGATAAACTTGACCCTCGGTAATGCTTTTGTCAAGATATCAGCTTTCTGCTCGTCACCACTTACATGCTCAATCCTTACTAGCTCTTTCTCGACACATTCACAAATGAAATGATATCGAATGTCAATATGCTTACTTCTCCCATGGAACACTGGATTCTTCATTAACATGATTGCAGCCTTGTTATCCACGTGAATTGTTATGGGTTCCATGCTTTGGCAAGTGATTTCTTCAAGCAAACCTTTTAACCAGACAGCTTGACATGCGGTTGCCGTTGCCGCCATGAACTCAGCCTCACATGAAGATAGTGCAACCGTTTTCTGTTTTTGGCTGCACCATGCTATCGGACCACCCCCATAATAGAAAATCATCCCAGTTGTACTCTTTCCATCTGCCCGATCAGTGGCATGTGAGCTGTCACTATAACCAACCAAATCTGCATCGCCATTCCTCCTGTATCGAATCCCGTAATTGATTGTACCCTTCAAATATCGCAACACCTGTTTTACAGCTTGCATATGCGATGTTTTTGGTAACTCCATGAATCGACTGGTTATTCCAATTGTATAACTCATATCTGGCCTTGTATGGGTTAGATATCGAAGACACCCAATAATCCTTCGGTACTCAGTTGCATGAACAGACTCCAGCTCCTCATCTTTTCCAAGCTTGAGACTTGGATCCATTGGAAATTTTGCAGGATTACACTCCCACAAATTTGCATCTTTTAGAACCTTTGTTGCATATCCTGTTTGCTTCAAAGTAATGCCATTTTTGTCTTGATTCACCTCCCAAATAGTATGTTAGAAGCCCCAAATCACTCATTTCAAAACAGTTTTTCATCTGTCTTTTGAACCCAACAATCTCATCCTTGCATGGACCTGCAATGATTAGATCATCAACGTATACACCAACTATTAAAGGTCCATTCTTTGTTGTTCGCTTGTATACTGCATGTTCACGTGGACAACGCTCGAAACCAAGTTGTTGTAGAGTTGCATTTAGCTTTGAATTCCAGGCTCTTGGGGCTTGCTTCAGGCCATATAAAGCTTTTACCAGTTTGTACACGAGATGTTCCTTTCCTGGCTTCTCGAACCCCTCGGGTTGTGGTACATATACATCCTCCTTTAAGTCTCCATGAAGGAAAGCCGTCTTCACATCAAGATGGTGAACTTCCCAACCATCTCGTGCAGCTAGGGATAGAAGCCAACGAACTGTTTCCATTCAAGCAACTGGAGCAAACACCTCATTGTAGTCAATACCATGTTTTTGGACATACCCCTTCGCAACGAGTCTCGCTTTGTAGCGAATTATATTATCTTTGGCATCCCTTTTGGCTTTATAAACCCACTTCAGATCAATCGGTTTAACTCCTTTCGGGAGTTCAACCAATTTCCATGTTCCATTCCTTTCTATAGAGTCCAATCTGTCTTGCATTGCAGCATTCCATTCTTTGCTATCTTTGGCTTCATTAAAGGTACTTGGTTCTTCATTGGATAGTAATAGTTCTGCGTCATCAAAGTGAGGTGGATTGAAAGCCTTCTCTTGTATCGATTGAGTTCTTGAATACACATCATTTAGGTGGCGAAATCCTCGAGGGGGTGTATCATCATAATGTGAACTTGAAATCGGACTCACACCTGATGTACTGAAATTTTCAAACTCATGCGGACTGTTTGGAACATTTAGTGGGCTGATAAGAGTGCTTGGAACCGAGACAGGCGACTTTGGGCTAGACAACGAACAATTCTCCGGTGTGCTAACAGATTCACACCCATTCTGTACGATTGGAGCAGCCTGGCCTTCGGTGTGATTGGGTGAGGTATTGAGTGGGCTGCCACCATTTTGAGTCAATCCTTGACCAGTCACACAAGCTTCATTTTCAACAACAAATTCAACCTGACTTTCATTTCCCTGTGTCTCCAAATCTTTAGCCCAGTCCCACGCTCTATTTTCTTCAAATTGGACATCCCTGCTAACACATAACCTTTTTGTCTTTGGGTTGTAAAGTCGATATGCTTTGCTTCCTGGTTCACTCCCGAGATGTACCATTGCCTCGCTCCTGTCTGACACCTTTGTTAATTTGGGTGTTGGTACTTTGACATGCGCCATACATCCAAACACCTTTAGGTGTTCCAAATTGGGCTTCCGTCCTTTCAGGGCTTCATACGAGGTCTTCTTTTCTAAAGCTTTTGTCGGAGTTCTGTTCAAGATGTAGACAGCATGTCGTACACCTTCTCCCCACAACCATTGCGGTATATTCATGGCCTTCAACATAGATCTTGTNGTTCAACCACACCATTCTGTTGTGGCGTATATGGTGCGGTTAAATACCTATTTATACCTTCTTCATTGCAAAGTTGTTCAAAGTTGGTAGAGACAAACTCACCTCCACGATCAGTTCTCAATGCTTTCACCTTGTAACCACTTTCCAATTCAACTGACTTCTTGAACTTGTTGAATGCCTCACATGCTTGGCCTTTGAACTTGATAACATATACCCACATAAATCTGCTGAAATCATCAACTAGCAATAAAAAGTACCTATTCCCAGATGGTGTACTTGGTGTAATAGGACCACACAGATCAGTATGTATCAGTTCAAGGGGCTGCCGTGCTCGATAAGAAATTTGGGATGGGAATGGAAGACGTCGTTGCTTCCCAACGAGACAAGCTTCACACAATTGTGACTTGTGATTTATGTTTGGCACACCAATCACCAATTTTTCTTTTGATAACTTCCTTATAGCATCAAAGTTTAAATGTCCAAGGCGTGCATGCCAAATCCAGGCCGTGTCATCCATCTTTGCAAGTAAACATGTTGGTGGAACTATATGAAGATGTACCTTGTATAGTCGGTTTGGAGACTTTTTCACTTTCATCAATGTTGCTCCTGAACGGTCATATAGCCAAAGAAAACCGTCCTCCATAACAATTTTGCATCCCACCTCGTCAAGTTGGCCCAAACTTAGTATATTATTACATAGGTCTTGAATGTAGTAGACGTTGGTGATGAGCCTCTGGTCACCATTCTTACATTGCAAAAGAATACACCCTCTGCCTTTGATTTCAACTGTTGAACCATCTCCAAACTTCACACGTCCCACTATCTTTTCATCAAGGTTGCTAAAATAACCCCGTTCCCCGGTCATGTGATTGCTAGCACCATTATCTAAATACCACGTGCCTTCCTCACTTCTCTCTTTGGCATATTCACAAGGAAACACTCTCCTCATTCAACATCACCACATCTTGTACATTATTTACCATTAGCAAAGTGGGTTCATCCTCATCCTTTGCTAGATTAACTTCATCATCGTTTCTTCTAGGAGCTCGGCACTCGGCGGAGAAATGACCAAGCTTATCACAATTATAACACCGCAGGTTCCTTCGGTCACGTTTACCACGTTGTTCATCCTGTGCAAAACTTCGGTTATTATTTGAGGGATTTCGGCCCCCTCGTCCATGCCCGTTAGGTCTGCCACGCCCACGACCTCGGCCACGGTGATCACTAAATCTTGTTCCACGACCCCTGCCGGCCTGCCTTGACTCAGTTTTCTGCCTTTCTTGCCATTCAGCCCTTGTTAACAACAATTGATCTGATGAATCTTTGACTGATCCACCAGGAGTAATCCGTTCCTCATAGGCCTTAAGGCTACCAACAGCTTCCTCAAACGCCATAGTATTCAAGTCTGAATACTGTTCTATTGTGGCAACAATTGGAAGGAACTTGTTTGTGGCAGAATTAAGTAACTTATTTACTTGTTTCTTTTCCTCAATTGTCGATCCAAGTGCCCGAACCTTAGTCATGATCTTGCTGATCTTGCTTGCAAAATCATCAATACTCTCACTTTCCTTCATTCTCAGCAGTTCAAACTCTCTGTTCAGAGTTTGGATTCGTGCTTGTTTAACCCGATCGGCTCCAAGATAACGCACCCTGAGTGCATCCCACACGTCCTTGGCCTCTGCATGTCCTGCTACTTGCATCAGAATGTCTTCTGGTAGTGCCTGGAAGATAAAGGCCCTTGCCTTCTTCCGGATCTTGACATCCACCTCTGTCGTATCCGGTGGTTCTATGGCATCCCAAATTCCTTGGGCATCCATAAACAACTGCATCTTGATAGCCCAAGATGTATAATTTGTTGTAGTGAGTACAGGACATTGGTACGTTGTCGAGCCTCCATCTCGAACCGGGGTAACAGCAACAACATCGTTTGTTTTCTTAGTATTGATGGCCTCCATCACAGACTATTGTTTTTCAGGTGTATTGCAAGACAATTACTGATCACAGATCTGTGTTTGATTTTCTTTTTTATTTTTTTTACCAGGGCTCTGATACCAATTGAAAGAAAAAATCAGATCTGGAGATATAAACAGAGTATTTTATTGTTATGAAACTGCTGTCCAGAACTATGTATCCATACATATAAATAGAGGACTAAACAACACAACCATTACAAATAGACACAACAGTTTCTAACCAACACATCTATTGGAAACTGTCATAAAAACTGTAACTAGTAACTGCCTGCCTTTTTTTTTAAATTTAAACTAAATCCAGGGCTGGAATTAACCAACATGACACATTTAAAAAAAGATCTTTGTACAAAAGTTTTTTTTTTCTTTTTTACAGCAGAACAAAAAAATATGAACTATTTTAATTTAAAAATAAAAAAATACAAGCAAGACATAATTTATATAAAAATACATTTCGTTCCAAAATAATAATAATAATTACCCTTCAATAATAATAATAATAATTGAAAAAACATAGTTCACTCGATTTGGAGTGTTTGTGCATGCAAAAAATATAAGTGAGATATAACATCAAAGTTATATATGCAATATTGGTATCGTTGGGTAGATCTTATATATAAAAAATCTGAAAACATATCATTTGTTAAGTAAAGACTTATGTACAAAAGATTATGAAAGAAATGGATGTTGGAGTAGAAAATACAAATAAATGGATTTTAGAATATACTCATAAAATACTCGTAAATAAATAAAGAGTACTCCATTGGCTTCCATCTCATGAGCACACTCGCGCTCAAACTCCGCAGATTATATGGTACAAGCAGATGTGCTTTTTTCTTGGTACATGATAAAAACTACGTTGTTTCTAAATGAATATTATGTTGTTTTAGAATAAACATGTTTCAAAATAAACATTACATGGTTACAAAATGAACATTATATTGAACATGCTTGGAACGAACACTACATTTAAAAAATAGTCTATTGATTCAAAATGAACGTTCTTTTGATTCAAGATGTATATTCCCCGGATATACCTACTACCTAGCTTAATGTGCACTCAAGTGTATGTTATACATTCTCCTTAGGCTATCTGTAGCGCTCCGTCATCGCTTACTCCAAATCAGCAGTAGTCACGGTGCGCGACATTAGCGCTAATTGCACTCGCCATCTCACTTAATTACTTCACACTCGTCCTCACTTCGAGTGCAATGATTACACTTTTATTTTTTATTTAATATGTATCTATTCCTATTTAAATAAATTCTATCTTTTATTAAAGAATAATTTTTTTTTCATTTTTCTATTTTGGATTTTTTTAGGATTTTTATTTTTATTTTTTTATATTTTAGTTTTTTATTTATATAGAATTTTTGATTTTTGGTCCTATTTTATTTTTTTTACTTTTTTATGCCATTTTATTTTTGTACCGAGCTTAAGGAAAAAAACAAATAATAATACAAAATACTCTATTGTACCACTAAAAATAGGATTATCACTATTTTTTAAAAAAAATCATATAAATATGTTATTAGTATTAAGTAACACTTTACAGAAAATGAAAAAAATAAGTTCGTTTAGTGTAAAAGGAAAAAAATATGATGGCATAATTTAATTTTAAAACATGTTTTGTTTCAAAATATAGTACAATAAAACATACTTCATTCAATTCAGAAGTTTTTGGAAGAAAAATATAAATATGACATAATTTCAAAATTATATATGTAGCATTGGTGTTAATGTGTTATTGAGTAGATCTTATGAAATTATTTCCAATGGCATATTATTTGTGAAATATTGACTTATGTATAAGAACTTATGAATAGAATATGTTTTATAGTTGAAAATTTTAATTAAAAGAAGAAGGTTAAAAAAAAGAAAGCACTTACCTGCCATGGGTGTGGCCACCAGCCTCTTCACGCGCATCACTCACGTGAAAGGAGGGGTGTTCATCCGTAAAGCTTGCTTACATGTCAATATCACGGAGGATCACGCCAAGGATATCGTGCGTGAGACATTACATATAACCTCAAACTCACGCGAAAGAGTCAAGATTGAATGGGGTGGTGTGAATCTTCTTTGGCGCTAGCTTGGTGTTGCCATCTCAACTCACGCCTATTTCAGGAGTTGTGCTATTATGGATCTTCTCATATATTTTATATTGTAAACCTTCTTACATACTCTCTCTGTTCCTCAATTTGTGTCCACTTTCTATTTAGCACAAATACCAAGAATATGGGTAAAAAGTCTCAATTGTCCTTGAATAATTTCCTTGCTCTCAGTCGTCCACGCTCAATTTTTCTACCGCCCAACCCATTCTCTCCGTCACCCCGTTCCATTATTGAGCGCGTTGAAAACCACCCCCATCCCGCTGTTGCATGAATTATGATCAACTTCAAAATTAAAAGAAAAAAATTATTGCCCAAAAATATGGACTTCCAATCGAATTCGAATATTAGCTTTGCTTCAGATCTGAGAATTGTAGGCGAGTACGAATTTGGGTTTCAGCTAATTGCTTCGCCCTTAGTCTTGTGGTTCTGGGTGCGACGGCTCGTGCCCTCATGGGTGAAGGGCGATGACTCATCACGACTACAATCATCACATCATTTTGAAGAGGGGAAGTAGGCAAATCTATTAACTCGAAGAAAAAAAACACGACCTGTACCATCTAAAGTCTAGAGTTAGGCTGCGCAAAACAAAGAGAATTGAGGGGGTGAATGGAGAAGACGAGAGATGTGAACGAAGAAATTGAGTAAATGTGAAAGTGGATAGCTTCACCACGGAGGTAGTAAATTAGGGAGGGCAGAATGATTTTTTTTCTTATATTTTTCTTACTTAATAAGGGAAGTGGACAAATATTGTGTGACAACTAAAAAAGGAATATTGGACAAATATTGAGGGACGAAGGCAGTACTTAATAAGGAAAGTGGATAAATATTGTGGGACAACCAAAAATACCTGACAAATATTGGTGGATGGAGGGAGTATTTTGTATCTGTTTATAGTTGATTTTTTATTCTAAGCAAACACATACAACTATTTCATTTATTAAGATTCATATAACAACGGTAAGGATCACATAATCAAAAAATTAAATCAAGGGAAAAAGATTAAAGTAAGAGTAAACATTGAAAATATACCAAAGTAGGGAATTCATATTTTTATTTTCAAAATAAAAGTTAAAATGCATTTACTTTATCAATCATGATCGTATACATTACTAAAATGTATTGTGAAATATCCATATACAGTGTCGCATTAATACAATGTCAACTCCTACTTTGGGAATAAAAATATGAAGCTCATATTTTGGTATTTTCTCTAGGTTTAAATCATATTTATTGTGATTTCTTTCAAATCAAACTATCAATTACTCCCTCCGTCCCATAAATATTTGATAACAAATTAGGATTTACGAGGCAAAATCTCATATCTTTGAAATCATTTTATTTACAAATTAATATATCGATAAAAAAATTATATATTAAAAAAACTAAGTAAAAAATTCTACAAAACAAGAAGTGAAAAAAACATTTTAATTTATCAAATAATTAATAAAAACATACAAATAAACAATAGTTATTGAGATGAATAAGAAAATTTTTATAACCAAAATTGGGAGGGAGGTTTCAATTACAGGGAGTAGTCGGAGTACTTAGTAATTGTGACCCAGAATATTTTTGTTGTGCCTAATAGTTTAATACCCTAGTTCTGCAATTGATGGAAATAAGCCATTCCGGCATTCCCCCTAATCTAAAGCTCCGATCAGGGCATATGCAGAGATCGCGCTCAACAGCTTCACCGTATCAGGGGTTTTCAATTTTCGCATCTCCTTAAATGACCCCAAAACCTGATCAGTCATTCCCTACTTGAGGTATACAATCTGTACATTCATTCATAGTTTTTTTCCTCAGATTCAAATCTATACAAATCCTATTCTTCTTCAAATACAAAACGTTTGAATCTGCTACTGTTTTAAAATAAATCATGCTAAACTTTCCCAACCAAAACTGGTAGAGTGATAAATATGCTCGGATTGGGGGACGGTATTAATAATTTTTAGTTGGATTTTACATAGTTTGATGTGGTTGTTTTTTTTACATTTTACGATGTACCCAGGTTTTATAAATTCATAAATAACCCACTCATTGTCATCTTTATTTCCTAACTGAACACACATTTTAGCCCCTTAAACAATCACCTCAGTATCGTAATTCTTTAAGCTAGTTTTTGCACACAATGAAATTTATGGTCAGTAATGGAATTACGAATTTACCTATTAGCAGTTTTAGTTAGATGGAATGGTGGATGCATTTGCTAAATTTATATGCTGGATTCATTTTGTTACTTTTAGTTTGGAGTGTAAATGGTGTTAATAAGTTAACATTTCTAAATTGATTATCATCGTGTAAAGTTGTTAACTGTTAACTACACGCATATATTATTATATTATTAAGCTGTTTAAAAGTCATTTATTTTCATTTTTGATATTCTAAGTAGTTGACTCTAAGTTTCAACTTCATGTTTAAAATTATGAATTATCTATCACTAACATGTCACCTGCTAAGAATCTGTTAACATGAATTGGCAGGTCTACTCAAAATCGTAGTGTAGAAACTGAACTTTGGTCATCGGTAGATTGTGTTAGCGGTGACGATGCATCACATGATCCTTGGACAATTGCGAGGAGCTGCACAGAAGCTTCTATGGCAACCCCAGACGCTTTTAACCACGACTAGGAATTACATTTCTGTAATGCGAAAGGAAGCATTTGAGGGAAACCTAACTAGATTACTCCGGAATGAGATCCAATACGAAATTGACAGGTCCCCTCCCTCCAAGGTACTTTGTTTTGTTTTCTCCCAAGACCTCATTCAATTTATCAGGTTAGGTGTAATCTTTTGAGTTCAGTTCCTCAATTTTAAATGATGTGTTAACTGCCAAGAACTTACTTTCTCACAGAAGAATGACATTTCTTTATAAGCTCCATGACTTTTTTTCTGTTCATATAAGTTTCATAATCTGCAATAGTCATGAAGTACAACACTCCTTTTATTGCTGACAAAGGGGTAAACTTTGATGAACCGTAACTCTTGTATCTCTCTTTCACACAAAGTCACAAACACAGTGACTCAGTGAGGACATTCCTAGACGGGGCCCGGGGGAGAGGAAGTCTAAGAATGCAGCTATATGGTAATTTGACTTGGGACTCACATTATAGGAGGGAGCTAGGTGTGAGTTGCAATAACTCACCCTTTATTTCTTTTTTAGCTATCTTCGTTTGCGTTTAGTCTTGTGTATTTGATTTTTCTAAAATGTTTTTATGTTTTCTTGAGCCTATGGTCTTCCAGAAAAAAGCTCTCTACTTTTTTAGGCAAGGGTAAAGTCTTCCTTTCTAGACCCACATGCGGGTTGTGCAATTGTTGGCTTTCGTGTTCTTGTTGTGTGTGTGCGCGCGCGCGCCTGATTTAGATTACATCAAATACCTGTTACTCTGTTAGTAGCTTAGCCACTTTAGCATAGTATTTGAACTCTAGTAAATGATTTAGAAAAAATATTTTGGGTAATTAAACATAAGTAAGTCTCATTTTCACATTCCTCGCATAGTTTTATCTACATCATATAAATATTGCCTTCCTTTCATTTACTGTGGTGTAAACTGCAGCCTGTCTCTAAATATGGATCATTTATGATTGATGAACGGCCGGGAGAGCAATGGACTAGACTTGAAAGGAAATTTGGAGAGAATGAAGAGATCAAAATTGATGTAACCATGTTTGATGGATTTGTTCCAGTGATCAAAGGAGGCGATGCTTCAAAAGAACATGAAGTGTATCTTCATGCTACAATGGTTATTGATATCTTTAAGGGAGAAGGCAATGGTGTGCTAGAGTTTGTTTGCTTTGCATGGCCTAACAGCGTTGAGATCCGTAAAGTTATAATGCACGGGCATGGTCCAGCTGCATCTCCGATTTACACCGGCCCCCACTTTAAGTATGCATCCTCCATACAATCTACTTTTTAACTTCCTAAAGTCTCTTATCTTCTATATATTCCCACCGTGAATTTATGTCAAACTTGAACTATTTTTAATTAATTTAGTTTTTAATAAATAATTAGACATGGCATGGGATTATGATCTAATTGCGGTTTCGTTGTTTGTATTTGCAAGGGAACTAGATGATAAGCTGCAAGATGAACTCTATAATTTTCTAGAGACAAGGGGAATCAATGATGATATGGGTGAGTTCTTACATCAGTACATAAGGAACAAAGCCAAAATTGAGTACATCCGTTGGATGGGAAAGGCAAAATCTTTCATAGAAATGAAATAGGGAAGGTAAATATTTGCATTCCCATATGCTTATTTTTGATAGTGAAAACCGTACACATTCGATCTTCTAAAATCATGTACGGAGTAGAAACAAAGCCGATGAAAGCAATGTCCCCAAATTTTCTTCGTATGCTGAGAATCAATCATAGCTTTTCCGAAATTTGTTGAGGACTTCTGAACCCCTGAATTGATCAACTATTTAGTTGTCTTAGTTGCTAGATGTATCAACACTCTATCATCCATCATACTGCATCTATGTTTTTCATAACTATGGAAGAGGCCATGCATGCATTGTTTTTTAGATTTTAAAAATATAATAGACTAGTTTTTAGAAGTACACTGGTGGGGATACATGAAGTCAATAAAAACAATAGGTACAGTTAGACCTGGCAATCGGGTCAATCAGTTCGATTCCGGTTCGGGTCTTTTCGGTTCGGGTCTCATTCGGATATATGTTATAATCGGTTCGGGTTGGTTCGGTTTGGGTCAGTTCGGTTCTGGGTTAATTTCGGTTTGACTGGTTTTCAGTTTCGGTTCGGGTTTGTATCGGTTCGGGTTTGTATCGGATCGGGTTTGTATCGGTTCGAGTTTATACCGATTCGGGTTTGCATCGATTTAGGTTTATATTAGTTCAAATATATATCAAATATTTACTAATAAATCAATAATATCACATAATAAATTTATTCAATTTATGATATATTTTATTATTTAACACGGATGTACATAAAATTTAATTAATTTCAGGTCTAATCAGTTTTGAGTTTAATCGGGTTCGGGTTTTATCGGTTCGGGTTTAATCGGTTTGGGTTTAATCGGATTCGGATCTGAATCGAGTCTGAATACATTCGGTTCGGGTGTGGTTCGGTTCAGATCATTTCGGGTGTCTGGGTCTATTTCGGTTCTTCAGTTTTCGGGTCAAATCGGGTTTAGTTCCGGGTTATTTGGTTCGGGTTATTGGGTCCGGGTCAGTTTTGCCAGGTCTAGGTACAGTACAAAAGCACAACATGCCTGCTTTTTTATTCAGCCAGTACAAAATACTCCATGGGGAAGGGGAATGAGCATGGAGATTCTCCAACTTCTAAAGTTCAACTCTACAAATAAGTACGGATTAATTTTTATTCCGTACATATTTTGAAACTTTTAAAACATTCCAGACTTAGGGTGAGCGATATGGGATCGGCAAGTGTATTTGGTACCAAAATTTATTTAGGTGGCAAATTGGTATAAAGAGTAATATCGGTATGGTAGTCTAAGTACATGCCGCTCATACTTCTCTCTTTTCTGTTCATTAATGTTGATACACACACATTATTTTGAGTTATAAAATTACTCCGTATAATTTATACATGCAAACACAATCCATATTTCTTTCACACCAATTTTTAAATGTTGCACTCTCAAAAATCAAACTTTTACTCTCTAGAAAAAAATACTCCCTCCGTCCCAAATTGAATTATCTGTTTATTATTCATATGGTCAAACTTTATTCACTTTCTTTCCTTATTTTCGTTAGTCATTTGGTAAAAAAATATAGTCATGTCACCACTAGTTTTGTAAACCTTAAGAGTGGTTTTTAAATGTATAATTTTCATTTTTCAACTCTATATTGTTTTTCATATAAAATGATTTGAAAATAACTTCAATCAAACATTATAAAAAGATTATGTTGTATGAAAATTGTACAAAGTCTGTATACAAGTTTTAACAAAGCAAAAGAGCCAAATAATAACAAGTTTAGAACACATTCTGCCATAACTCGTACAGTCGTACTCGTATTCATAAGTCTTGCTCACTGCAAAGTACGGAGTATATTTTTTTCCTTTTGTCATCCGTCCCAAAAGGCTTTTCTCATTTCTCCTTTCTTTTTTTCTCACTTTTACTGCTATTAATTCTTAACCTACAGATCACATCAATTCGTTATTAGTCTATTCATCAAATCCTACTTTTACCTATCACATCTAAAAATATTTTTGAAAACTCAACACTAAAATAAACTCATCTTAAATCTCTTATAAAACAAAACCTCCCATGTTTGGAGAGAGTAACCTATTGGAGTACTAATTCACTAAAAATATTAAAATACTAATAGGAAATCTCTGGCTTTTATTCATAAATTAAAGGAGTAAACGAAGGCATTTAGATAATTTGGTTTTTAACAGTTCGGTTTGGTTCGATTCTCAAACATCAAAACCAAAACTAAATGTATACGCTTTAGTTCGGTTTTTTAAATCGATTTTTTCCAGTTAGATTTTAGTTTTTTCAATTATAATTTGCCCCATACTCCCTCTGTCCCAAAACCCTCTTCACGTTTCAAAAAAAAATAGTGTCCCGCAATCTTCTTCCAATTTCTATTAAAAGATCACTTTTACCCCTTACTTTTTCATACCATACTTATTACATCATACATTTTTACTAATAATCTACACATCACATCCTACTTATACCCATCACATCAAAAGTATTTTTGGAAAGTCAACATAAAATTATCACTTTCTTATTTTACCACTTTAATCAATATGTCCTTCACTTCTTGTCTCCTATAAGCAAATTGAGATCGATTAAGCTTTAACCTGGAATAGGTTATGAGCCAAGTATAAGAAAGAAAGATAACGGAATTGATAAAGATTACTTAAAACCCATAATATTATATGGTTAATCTTGTGTTTTGTTGTGATGTTATGTATGTTTTCTATGCGTGATATCGTATGATAATATGAGCTAGTGAGGTCTTCTATGTGTATAACTTTATGTTAGATATTTCTTACTTACAGCACTGGAAATACTCTTGAAGCCCCGGGGCTTCAAAATTTCTCTCTTTGCCACGTCAGCTTTAACTTAGCTCACAGATTCACTGGAAATGGGTTTGAAGCCCCGGGGCTTCAAACTGGGGTTTCAAACCTTCATTTTTTACATTTTTAAATATACATCTTCTAAATTTAAATTAATAAATTTAAATTGATCGCAATGAGACTAGTACATTAAAAAAATTACATTCATAAAAAAATTACATTCATTAAAAAAATATTACATAAAAAACAACACTACAAAGAAATTACTAATTATTCGAGTGATTAAAGATATGTTCGATCAAATCCGCCGTTAGTGCATTGTGAATCTCTCGGCTTCGAATTTCTTGGCGGTTTCTTCGTTTCTTTTCTTCGTACATAGACACCTCCTCGTCTGGGTTGTATTGACAAATCGCAGTCTCATTATCCTCTATGATCATATTATGAAGAATAGTACATGTGTACATGATATTCCTCATTTTCGTTTGAGAATAACATTTTGACGGTCGATCTAGAATGTGTCATTTACCCTTCAAGACCCCAAAGGCTCGTTCAATATCTTTTCTCGCTGCCTCTTAAGCTTTTTTGTAGGTCTGGCGTTTAAGACCCATTGGTTCGGAGAGAGATTTGACAATCGTGGAATAATATGTATATATTCCATCGGCCAAATAATATTCACGCTTGTAAAGCGTCCCTCTAAGCTCAAAAGACGAGTCGGGTGCGGTCTCATTAATCCAATCGTCAAAAACAGGCGATTGATCGAGAACGTTGATGTCGTTGTTCGAGCCCACGACACCGAAAAAAGCGTGCCAAATCCACAAGTCATTTGAAGCAACAGCTTCGAGCATGATAGTAGGCTTGGGATGATCTCCCCGGGAGAATTGACCGTGCTACGCAGTGGGACAATTTTTCCATTCCCAATGCGTGCAATCAATACTCCCAAGCATGCCGACAAAGCCGTGTTTAGCGGCATGCCTTGCCTGTAACTGCTGAATGTCGCTCGTTGTAGGCTTGCGTATATATCTTTTATGATAAATTTGAATAATAACTTTAGAAAATTTATAAACACATGACCTGATGCTCCGAGCCGACATCTTCAACTATTCGTCGAACATATCAGATGTCATCCCGCACGCCAACTGACGGAGCGCGGCAGTGCACTTCTAGACACTACTAAACCCGCGTCGGCCTCTCGCATCAAAGCGTTAGGTGAACCAAGGAATCTCGCGTTCAACATCGGCGAGTATGCGTAAAAAGAGAGGACGACTCATCCGAAAACGATTACTAAAATCCTCCGGTGTATAAACACACGGAGTATTAAAGTAGTCGTTTAGAAGTGAAGCGTGGGCGGCCGCTCGATCCCGGTTTAAACTTTGTCGTCGGGTCCGTCGTTGGGAGGATTCGGCTTCTTCTTCTTCGCCTTCTTCCCACAATTGAATACAACTCGTGGCGAAACAACGAAAAATGAGAGCTCTTTTTTCATCGTCGGATGAAGATGATCCCATTTTTAAAATCTTTTACATCATTTGGCATTATATAACACATTTATTTGCAGTGTATGTGAGCATGAGTGGTGAGTTTTTTTTTTTGAAAAAAAGACTAAAGTAGAAATAAAACATTGAAAATATACTAAAATAGGAATTTCATTTTTTATTCCTGAAATAGGAGTTAAATGCATTTACAGTGTCAATCATGACTATGTAAATTTCCAAAGAGTATTGTCAATCATGGAGCTCTTATTTTGATACCTTTTCTATGTTTTCCTCCTATTTAGGATAATTCCTTGTTATTTATTTACATTGTTGCTTTCTTTGGCACTGTATTAATAATTATTTTTTTAATTTTTTTAGAGTTTGTATGGCACTATGCGAGACGCCGACAGATTGCAATGACTTTAAGTTGATTGCGAAGGCAGCGGCGGCGATAGTAGTACGGTAATAAAGGCGGCAACGACATTAGGGGTAAACTAGGATGATAGTTTTTTTAAATGTCATATTTTTAATAATTTTAATTTGTAAATACATGTGTTTTTTTAGTATAAGTGCTAAATACATGTTATTTATTGGGAAAAATTTACCAAAATAGTAATAAAACATATTGACTTTCCCAATGTAGTACCATATATCTTTATTTTCCAATGTAGTACTACTGCTCATTGTGCACTGGTCAATGGTCATTGTTCAAGTAAATGTCTACCACTACTGGACATTGTTCAAACTAAATGTCCACCATCACTGAACATTATTCCCGCCACTAGACATTATTCAATTAATATTTAGAGAATAAAGAAGTGTAAAAATTATATTGGGAAACGACATATGTTTTAGTTTAAATTTCACTATTTAATTTAAAAATTTTAGGGAGTATCATTCCATTAGCTCACACAAAGTTCTTGCTTTTTTTTAATTGGAATAAGAATGTTCTAGTTGAATCAACTAAAGTATGGAGCTCATACTTGTACCAATGGGGGTAATTTAGGAAACCTGTACCAAATTTAGTCTTACTGAAGGAAGTTTAGTTTTGACTCCTATTTTGATATATTTTTGAACAAAGTGCAAATTTTATTCCTCAAACACACATACAAAGTTTAGCTCATCAGCTAGTACTTCTGCTTCCCATTTAATTAAAACTACCTATTTTTGGGCAATATATAGATAGCTACATGGTACTTTATATAATCAATACAATTCTCAGTAAATATAGCTTCCTTCCCATGTATGACTTGATTCCTTGCTCTCCAAATTGCATAACAACACGCATTAAATGTGGCAGCCCTCAAGTTTCTCTCCTTTTCTGCTTTGAGGAATTTACCTAAATAGCACTAAAACATAATAACTTTCCCTAAATAGCACTACATATGTTTTTCTTCCCAATGTAGCATTTTTAGTCATTATGCATTAGTCATTATTCAAGCAAAATTTCGCCATCACTAGACATTATGGACATTATAAGTGCTATTTAGAGAATAAAACAGTTTAAGTGCTATTTAGGGAAATGACTTAAGTTTTAGTGCTATTTAGTGTAAATATTTCTTCTGCTTTTGCATCTAACCAGCAGCTCCTCTATTTCCTTCAGTTCCTGCACCTGGATATTCACACCCATCCAAGCAGATATCTCATGGTGTATTTATGTGGTATACTTGCATGAGCAGAATATATGATCAACATCTTCATCATGTTGTCCACAGAGAACACATTTTGTGTCAATCTGTAGGAATTTACTTAGTCTACTTTTAGTTTGTAACCTTCCCTTCCAAGACAGCCAAGCCATAACCTGATGTTTTGGTTGGGTCTAATTATTCCACACTGCATTAACCCAACTCACCCTTGGTTTCTCTCCCATGAGCCATTTATATCCTTCTTTGATGCTTACTCACCCTTCATGGTCATGTTTTTGAATTCAGTCCTCACCTTCAATAGTTTTTCCAGTAATAGCATGTGTCCCCATTTTTTTCATATTGCCAGATTGGACCTTTCTTGATATACCTGTGATGCATCCATCTTACCCACAGAATATCATTTTTGTTGGCTATATCCTATATCAGTTGCATTGCGCATGCTTTGTTCCAGTTGATTTGGTTTTCAGGCCTAATCCTCCATTACTCTTTGGTTGGCAGACTTCATCCCATGCAACAAAGGGGCATCTTTTATACAAGGGTGAAGCTCTCCATAGGAAATTCCCGCATACTTCATGTATCTTGCATAGGAAAGGTGTTTAGTCATCCAAGAGTATATTTTTGTTGTTAGTTTCTCCACCAATCTACCACACTCTCTTTGGTCTATCCTTGCAGCAGTGATTGGACATCCTAGATATCTGAATGGAAATTCTCCTTTAACCATTTTGGTTATCTGCAGATATCTCTTCTCATTCACCAAATTTACTCATCCCATCACAATATGTGATTTCTCGTAGTTTATACCTAGGCTTGTCACTTCTTTAAAATTCTCCAAAGCTCTTAGTACAACTGATATAGACTCTTCTTTTGATGTATTTATAATATTATAATCCTATTTATGTCTTTCTCCCATTTAATTTTCGAATAATTAAATAGTTATTTTCGAGCATAACTAAATTTTAATAGAAAAGATATTCAATTACCAAAACAAATAAATATTCAATTACTCTGTTCATTAGAAAAATATAATACGGGAAAGTGGGAAACGCCTTCAAGAAGTCTACAATTCCAGTTTCACAAACCCCTGGCCCTATTGAAGTTCGAATTCTACTTTCCAGTTCTCCTCAACACTAGGGTTTTCGGCATCTTTGCTGCAGGTGAAATCTTCAAATCTGCCTTATTCAAATTGTTATTAACCTATTATTCCTATTCCGCAAAATTATGAAAGAAATCTTGACCCTAAAATCTGCTCGGGGAGCACGTGTGCTCGTCGTGGTTGTTTTAATATCATTTGTATTTATGCATAATTAGATCAGTTATGTATTCCCGTTATAGTTTAAATTTCTGTTTCCTAGAATTCTTGGCGATATTAAAGATTCTAAATTTAACCAGCTGCAGAAAAAAACAGTAGATTTCGTTTGGGTTGTATGGGTGCCATGTCTTCTCAGTGGTTTCTTTTAGCATGAACCTTAGGTGCATATAATAATGCGTGAACCTTTCACATCAATTATTGAATAAAAATAAATTTAACAAATGTTTTTTACGACACATGAAAATGCTTACTCCATATATAACTATTTAGAAGGTCCCTGAATTTTAATTGGGATTTTTGTCCACCTAAGAATTTACCAATCCCAATAGGTACCGCTAATCTACATAAACTAAGGGTTGATTTGGGTTTACTTTTATTAAGTGCTGAACTCTGAATAAAAAGTGTTGATCTGTGTTTTAAAAAATCTGTTTGGTAAGTTATGATATAATGTGAGGGACAAATTGGTATTACTATTATTAAGTTCCTTACTCAAAATAAACAGTGTTAAAATTCTGTTTGGAAGGTTATGGTATAATGTAAGGGTCAGTTTGATATTACTGTTACTAAGTGCTTAACTCTGAATTAACAGTGTTGATCTGTGTGTTGTAGGGTGAATGTATAGATATTTGGTAATGATTGTTGTGAGATTTTTTTTATTAGATATGTAGTAAGCAATGTATTACTATTTTGAAAAAGCAACCATCTGCTTTGTAATTCTAGAATTCAAGCTGTAACACCATTTTTTACCAAACAAAAGCAGAGTAGATTAAAATTCCAATCAATCCCAAACTGACCCCATATGTGGTAGCCATGAACTAGAGAACTTTTCTAAATTATAAGATTCTGCAAATTGAACCATGCATAGGTGAAGGGAATGCATGCTTAGTCCACCTGGGTGTGGAACTTCTGGAGGAATTCATCTTTCTGGAAAAGAAAGAAAAAAGAAAGCGGTACATTTGCATGGTGAAATGGGGGTGTGTGTATTTTATGAGAATGACTCGGTTTCCTTTTTGGAGAATGTCATTCTGATCGGTTTATCTTGGTAGAACTATTCCATTCTCTTCCAAGTTAAAAAAAATCGCGAGCCAGATGTAAATGTGATTGTGTACCAAGTGATTTCCCTGTTCATTAGATTCTTAGCCAATCGTGAAATGAAATGTGAAGAAAATAAATTAGTAAAGATATACTCTGTACGTTTTTGGGGTGTTATGAGCATAAATGTGATTTTCTTGTATTTGACAAGGAAACACGTTCTGTACTGTGTATTTGAGTTTGATATTAATAAATTTTATAGGCCTTGATGTTATGTGATAAGAGGAAAAGATGATCTTTGCCAATCAACTCTTATTTTTAATATTGCATCCTGCAGGAATGATAAGACTTAAGAGGAATATACTCTATCTAACATACCAGCTCTAAGTTATCATTTTGACAGTTGCCATTGGTCCTTGAAATCTTGATATGAGTGATCTGCTTTTCAGGGAAATCTTCCAGCTTGACATCACCCTAGTAATGGATTTCAGCGGTGATGAGGAACAATGTAGTGCCCTAGCCCTGAGGCTTTTTTATAGTGAACATGATGGCAACTGCTCTGCAGAAGATCTAGCATGGGCCGATTCCTGCGTGAGTCCGAATCATGAACTATCCACGGGCGGCTTGGATTCGTTCAGAAACTCCTTTGCCTCATTAGGGATTCATCAGGGTTCAAAACAGGAGTCTTCTATGGATGAGAATGGTGAATTTTGTCCAGCGGCTGACCGAAACATGTTTGTCCATAGTGGAAAAGGAAGAAGCTCACCATTACTACGTTTGATAACCGCATCTGATGATCTAACAAATGAACAGGATATGGGGAACAGGATTGATTATGATCCGAGCAGTGTGACTACTGATACTCCCAAGTCAAAATTCAACTTGGAGAACGTTTTCCTTCCCACGTACAATGAAAACCAGAGAGCAATTGTAACTGCCGATCCAGAGCTAGATTCAATCTTTCCAGCATTTTTTATGGAGGACCAACCCGCTGATAACATATTTAAGGTCTGGGAAATAGACATTCCAGATGAAGAAGATGAACTCATTGGACATGTGAAAAAAGCCTTAGCTGAGTGCTCCTCAGACCCTGAAGGTTCTGTCCCTGAAGGTTCCAGAATGTCGGTAGGATTGAATGATCGGTTTCTTGATGATCTTATTTTACGATTTGATGACATGTCTTTGAGCTGGTAGTCCAGCCGAATGCAATGTTCTAATGGGCTTGATGATCTTATTTTACGATTTGATGACATGTTTTTGAGCTGGTAGTCCAGCCGAATGCGATGTTCTAATGGGCTGTATTACGTAATTTCTTCCATTCTCTGTTATGTTTTTGTCGCATATTCCTACATTTGGTCTAGGCTTTATGTCTAGAGGACATTTGATCTTTACCTGTGTACATGTTTTTTCTATGATTTATAGAAGCTCTCTTTCAGGGTTCTCTGAAGTTGGAGGGATTGAAGTAGCTTGGTCCACAGGTGAATTGCCAAGCGTACTAATACTCCAACTTGTGGCTTTTCTTTTACTGTCAATAAGCCTGCATGGGTAGCTGAATTAGTTAAAGAGAACATGTCAAGCCCATAGATCCTCGGTTCGAATTCCGGCAGCGGTGTTGTTGGAGTTTTATTCTTTTTAATAACTCCTTGTGTGCACCGGGCACGGGACATCCTCTCCAAGGACTAAGTTAAGATTATACCATGGTTTACTTTCTCACCATCCCGTTGGGCACTCGGTGTGGGCATTCCACTTTTTTTTTTACTGTCAATGAGTTATCGGTTTCTATCACATCATTAGTTCATTGAGAAACGTTTAAGATTAAGGAGCATAGGTTTCTATCACATCATCATTACTTAATGATACCCATTCTAGAATGTTCTAGGTGAGCACATAGTTTTAAGGATAACATACGGTTTTTTTTGTATTACTCGGTATAACATATGGTTTTTGGTTATCATAAAACTAGTAAATTTTGTTTTTGACTTTTCTAATTTTATTTTTAATAAGTATATTCTTGTAATTTAAAAATTGGCAAAGAGTTTTCCCCCAATCTAGAGCTAATGAGGGTAAAATATGTTTGTAGCCCGTATAAAATTAACAAATTCTGTTTTTCGTTCCTCTATTTTTTCTTAAATAATTAATTCAATCCTTTTTCAAAACATATCAGTAGCATAAAAGCCCGCCCAATCATCATAGAAGGCCCTGTACAAATGACCAACTTAAGTCCCTGAGATAAAAAGAAACAATTCAACAAAAAAAATTGAACCATTTAAGATGCAAAAATCACCTATCAAATCAATTTAACACACTTAGATAAATATTCAAACAATGCTAAACTAAAATATTGGTGCAAAAAACACAATTGAGATATTTTGATTTGCCTTTAAGTTCAAAACTATTTACAAATTAGAAATGCTATAGTGACAAACAAAGAATTTACAAAAATCACAAACTTAGTACATTATTAAGATCTCACTAGTCAATATGAACAAGATGCACTCAAATGAAATTGTAATGTCTAAAATTAAAATTACAAAAAGCACATTTATAAATTTTGTGAACTCTTTGTTTGTAACTAACATTTCTTTTCACAAATGAAATTGTAATGTCTACAAAGTAAAAGCTGAAAAAAGGGAACAAAAAATAGTTTTTAACGCCTAAAAAATATAGTGCCAAATAAATACTGAGTAATCTAAAAGTGAAATTGTAATTTCTTTTTTTTTTTCTTTGTTCAATCCAGGGAAAACATATTCTTTCAAAAATTAATTTTTAGAACAGTAAAACAATGAAACAAATCAAAATAGGTTAAAAAGAGTTGCAATGAAAATCAATTAGAGTAATTAATAGTTGATCATTGACAAAAAAAGAATAAAAATCTAAAAGTATAAGTCATGCGATTGAGGAGTTCCATTGACAAAAAATAAATTGAATTAGGAAAAAAACTAAAGCAGAAAAATCAAGAACTCACCACTCCAGAGGAGAAGCTGAGGAACTTTGCGTTCGACTAGGGGGAGCCGCGGAGGAAACGATGAGGCGGAACACTGAATAGTCCTTTCTTATTAATTATTGGGCTTGAGTAATAGAATAAATCTAGTAATGGGCTAAAGATAAAATTAAAAATGGGCCCTTATATTTCGGAGGCCCTGTGCAAGTGAACCCAATGCACTTGCTTATGGGCGGGCCTGAATTAAAACAAAACAAGAATTACCATGGAACTCGGATCAAGCCAAAAATAAAACCATGAAAGAATTTTGTGGAAAATCATGCATATCAACATGTCATTTTATCATCTCATTATCCTCTAGAATGGGGGTCACACAATTCCTGATACTAGACATCAATATTATACTCCCTCCCTTCATTTGAATCTTTCTAGTCTGCGTTACGATGATTGACTAATTTTATTTTCAATTCAATTTATTTGATTGTATGTGTAAAATTAAAAAAATAAAGTTATATATTAAAAAATTACATCAAACGATCTACAAAACTATAAGTAACATGATTATATTACATTATCAAATGAGTAACAAAAATAGGTAAACAAAATATATAAAGTTTGACCCTTTGGATAGTGTACGTAAAGATTCAAGTGGGACGGAAGGATAAGAGTTTATTCCATGCAACACCGTATTGACATTATAAGACCATCCATAGTGGTTCAGGATCCTCTTGAGTGTTTTTGAATTGCCATGTGAACGTCGGGTCAGTAGAGTAATTTGAACAAAAAAATGTGTAGTAGTTCATGCTGATTTCAAACGCCTTTTGTTATATTTACCCTATTTCAGGGTGAAGTCTAAGTAATGATTTTTTAATAAGCTATTACTCTAAAAAAAAGACTTAAAATCAAGAAATCCCAATAAAAATATGGATGATACGCCGATGATGAATCATACTCTCTATTAGATAGGGCAATGCTAGGGGTACACCAACATGGGGTACTCCATACGAACACCAAGCCAACACAGACACACACACACACAAAATGTTTGTGCAGCACAGATATTTTGTGTCTGTGTTGGCTTGGTGTACATATGGGGTACCCCATATTGGTGTACTCCTAGGTTAATTCTATTACTACCTCCGTCCCATTTTATAATGCCTATTTCGGTTTACGATGTTTGACTGAAATTATTTTCAAACCATTTTATATAACAAATGGTATAGAATTAAAAAATAAAAATTACATATTAAAAAACTACATCAAAAGATCTACAAAACTAGTAGTGACAATAATATTTTATTTTATCAAATTGCTAACGAAAATAGAGAAAGAAAGTGAATGAAGTTTGACTCTGTGAATAGTAAACAGGCATTATAATTTGGGACGGAGGGAGTAGTTATGAGTAAACATAATACCGAGTATAAACATGTTTCCACCAGCCCTATTTTTTTAATTACTCACTCCGTCCTTGAGTATTTTTGTCCACTTTTTATTTTTTCAGTCAAAATTCATAAACTTCGACTTCAAATTAAATAAAAATGAAATTAGATATTGATAAAAAAATAGTTTTATTAGATTTATTATATCAAATATTTTCAAAATATTATTTTATCTAATTAATATACAATATAGATTTTGCTTAGTTATAAGTCAAAAGTTGAAAACAGTTGACCTAAAAAAATCAAAACTGGGCAAATACTCAGAGAGAGAGGTAGTAAGAGCTTTGTATATGTAAAAGTTCTTCCGTTGCAATAATAAAAATAATGGCGGATAATATAATGTACAGTTATAGTCAAATCAGATAAACGTTTTATACTTATTTATTACTCCCTCTGTCCACCTAAGTTCTTCCCGTTACGCGTTACGAGACTTGACCGACTTTATTTTCAATTCAATTTAATTGATTATAGGAGTAAAATTTTAAAATAAAATTTATTTAGTAATAAATTACATGAAAAGTTCTACAAAACTAGAGGTGACAAGGCTATATTATTTTACGAAATGACTAGTAAAAATGAGCAAACAAAGTGAATAAAGTTTGACCCTGTGAATAGTGTCTGGGAAGATCTATGGTGGACAGAGGGAGTACTTTTTCTATGATAATTTAATAAAATTCTATTAGCAATACTTGTTACTTCCTCGTCCCACTGTCTTTGTCCACTTACCTTTTGGCACACCATCTAATGCACTTCTTTAATCCATTTTATCTTATAATTTGTATATTAAAAAATTATAGAAATTATGTATTAATAATCTATATGTTAAGACAAATCAAACAAGATCACACATGACTATATTTAGGCTTACACATTGAGAGAATTTGATGAGTCAAAGTGCTTTGATGAACAGTTCCAAAAGTCAAAAGTGGACAAAGACAGTGGGACGGAGGTAGTATTAGTTTCATCCACTTTGAATTTGTTTCACTCATTTCACATTCGAAAAACGGATAAATCAGGTGATGGATGATGAATCGGGTGATGCATAGATAAGAATGAAATTTTCCATCCAAAAAGAAAAAGACAGTATTCACTAGTGCAGCCAAAACACACACAAAAAAAATTGAACATTGTAGCGGGACGGGGGTGATATTCAGCACCCAACACAAGTCTAATAACATGCAAGAATGAATACCATTTCCAACTTCGGTATTAAAGAATCAGATCAAAGAGTCTTTAAAGATTGGGTTTTCCCTTGAGCTTGCGAAGCTATTCTACGTGTTCCTGTTAATATAATAACTTTGGATCCACCATAATATACTACCTATTCGCCAATTATTTTCGGGAATCAAACGATTGCCACAACCCGAATACTATGGTACATTTTCAAATCCAAATGTAGCAGAGCATAGTATAACGCTTCAATTAATCCGCCAGCTTTCCTTCCCTAGAAAACACAATGAAAGAGTTATTTATATTACTCTAGATAATCTATTTTCTTCAACAATTCTTCAATCAAGTGAATTAGAAACTTGAAACAATTCTTCAATCAAGTGGATAAATTGCCCATTTCTTTTTGTTTCTCTTGAATTAATTGCCCACTCTCCATATTAAATAAAAAATTATGACGACTTGAAGACAATGTATGAGCATTGTTGATATGAATGAGCAACTAACACATTTGAAGGACTTATTTAGCATTTTAAATTCATTTCTTAAAAAGGAGAATTTTTAGAAAGTGGACAACTGATTTGGAACTTGAAGTATCATCTTGTATTGGAACGGAAAGAAGAAGCCGGCAATCCGGCATGACCAGAGTTGGAGAAAGAGAATGAATATAGGATGATACCAGGGCGATGAGAGCATGAACGAATCCCATTTACGTCTCTCTTTTAAAGGATCCAATAGGGATTGCACCTTCTAACTCATGATTGTTATCAATATGCTCGTCAATTCTGGGTCCCTGAGAGATAATGTGTATATGCATTTTATATATACACACACACACACACACACATACATACACATATCTCTTGTTTTAATTGCCAACGCACATTTACTGTCAAGTTGACGAAACTTTTCATGTGATAGAATACCTGGTGCGTAGAAGCTTGACCATGGATTCTATTAGGCCTAGCATTGAGATCAATCAATTTGTTCTCTGTTTTTCTACCGTCGTCAGCATTTTTGTCAAGAAAAGTGACAGGCAGTTCTCTGCTAGTTGGTGTGTTATCATTCGTCATGATCTTTGATGGGTAATTTGGCTCCCACTTGGGTTTGGTTTTTTCAGTAGGTTGCAGATCTGGCTCATCTAATTGGCCAGGTTTATCCCCAGGAAACTAAAGATAACACAAACAGAACAACAACGGTACAGCATATGCAAGATTGAAATAAAAACATAGAAAGGCATTTATTATAGAATCATGAAACAAACCTCAATTCTCTGCCTCACAAGAAGATATCTTCCGTGTGTTCTTTTTCCACCCACATGAACAATCATATCGCATTGGAGACACAGTGAACTCCCATCTATCTCACAGTAAAAGAATGCTACACAAAAAAAACTGATTATGCATATTTTTACATTTTATGCAACTGAAAATAATGGATAAGAAAAATGGAGAGAGATGAACCTGCATACCGGGTGCATTTTCGCAAATATCACATCGTGAGACTTTGCTGGGATCAGCAATCCCAACTCGTACATGTCTACTGGCAAGCTTGTTACACATATGGACCTGCAATACATTGTCTAAATAAGTCTAAGAGGTTCTGTACAATACAAGTGTACATGTTGGCACACGACAAACCTGAGAAGGAGACTAAACACACCATAAATGGAAAAACACATCATATGCACCAAAAAAAAGTGAACTAACAGTGACAGGTAAGTAGTTTAGAGAAAAGACACATGGAATTCAATAATCAAATCGCGTGAAAGGGTTATTGACATGTATGAAAGAATTCACGTACTTCAATAAGTTCATGTGGAATTCCATACCCAAAAAGCTTTGAAGGGAAAACAGATATATACAATTCCTGTACTACTGCACTTGGAACAAAATCAGATACACAACAAAGAAAAGGGAATTGTAGAAGTGTATCACCACTGTCAACACACCAAAGTTAAAAAGGAATCCTTTCTTCTTTGGCTCTATCTACCCTAGTTGATTTTTTTCATGATTTTTGCAGAGCTGAGTACTCAGTACTAAGGCCCTGTTCTCTTAGTTTGAGAAAATTAACTTCCAACTTTATCCAAATTTCTTCTAGTTTCTTCCAACTCCTTCAAATTCTTCTAACTCATTTCAGTTTCTTCTAACTTATTCAAGTTTCTTCCAACAACAACTTATAAATATATGATGAATATACAGTAACATTATATATTCAAATTTATAACATACCACCTCAAACACGAACAAGGATGAATTCCTCTTATCCAAAATTAGAATTTTCTTACATATTTATTTGGATGATCATTTAATAGATTGAGTTTTTAACACTTTAATTCTTCCAACATTTTCCAACTCCATCCAAATTTTTCCAACTTCTTCCAAACTCTATTCAGTTTCTCCCAACATCCAATCCTGAAATGCCAACCCAAAACCCAAAAGAATACTACTTCACATTCCGATTCTCAACTATTTCCAATCAGTGACCACAAAATATAGAATACTCGTAACAAACAACAAAAAACGCAAATCAGCAATCAGATCCAACTGAGTGCGTGCTCGCCAAACAAAAATTAAATTCCAAATGCTTTTCAGAGCCAGATTATCATATAGGCACACTTAAGAATAAAAGCTTTTACGGTACTAATAATTGAGAGCGAGGCAAAAAGGCACAAACTTTTTCATCGCAAGCACGGCAAAGGGCAGCCTCGTCGGCGGCGCAGAAGAGTATGGCGGCGGCGCTCTCGCAAGCATCACACAACGTTCTCATTACTTTCCACTCCTAACCCTCCTCCTTTGCTTGCTTGCTGTTTTACCCCTCTCTCTCTCCCACGTTCTTCTCGAATCTCATTTGCTTCCACGAATGCACCCAGACCGCGCCATCATTCGCCGCCGTGCGTCACAGCTCACAAAAGCGCAGCCGATTGAAATCCCAAACAACAGAGCCCCTGGGGAGAGCGAGAAATTTGCTGGAATGGCGGTTGAAGAGCATGGAAGAAGAAAGGTGAAGTCGCGGCGGAGATTTGTGCGGCCCAGACGACGATGACAAATTGACAAGTGTACAGGTTAGGTCAACCAACTCAGTTTCAATCCGCCAGAAATATTCAAAAGACTTTAACCTGCTTCACTCAATCGAGTGGCTGAGGTTCGTCAAGAAAATTGAAATATGGAGTCCTTGGATCGTTGAGGAAGGAATGAATCTCACGAGTGGCTGAGAGATTAACCACGTGATGCCTATGTGCAGGTTTACATTTCTTTTCTTTATTTGTTTCAAAAAAATTGCTTTTTTTTCCACGAAAAAAAAGTCCTTTCATTTTTTAGGGTGAACAAGTATTGAATGGATTTTGAAAATTTTCAAAAAAAAAAAAAAAAGAACCGAACAAACACCACAAAAGAATCAAACAATTGGTACGATATTTGGAAACGATACGAGGTAACTTTTTATGCCGAAAATCTGAAACCGAACATATATACTTAGGGGTGAACACGGTACGGTTCCGGAACCGCCGGTTCCGGTACCGCCACCCCATGGCACCGGTACCGTGACCGGACCGGCCGGTACCGGACCGGCCGGTTTCGCCTCCCCCCCCTTTTTTTGCTTTTTTTTTTTGCAAATTGCATGCAGGCCACCTGTTCCACAATCCACACTTCCACTTCCTCCCGTTGAAGAATGACGACTAGTCCCCCTCCCTTTAATGTCTGGACTGATGCAAGCCGGCAGGGAAAAAAACTAGTCTCCCTCCCATTGAAGAATGAACACTTCCACTTCCACAGTTCTACTCTTTTTTGCAGGTGGTGGGCCGGACTGACGCAAGCGGCAAGCCTGCAGGGAAACCGGAAAAGAAAAAAAATACAAGGTACGGTACCGGAACCGGTACCGGTACCGCCGGTTCCGGGACGAAAATATTGGCACCGGAACCAGTACCGAGTGGGGCGGTGCCGGTGCCGGTTCCTGGTACCGGGTGACGAAACAGACGAAGAGGACGGTTGCAGGTACCGCCGATACCGGCGCCGGTAACGGTACCGAATCGGTACCGTGTCCAGCCCTATATATACTAATAATAATTAATAACAGTCAGATTCATTCTGATCAAATTAGATTCATTCATATTAGTTTAGATCACATCAGATTCATTCATATCAGTTCTGATCAGATCAGATTCATTCAGATAAGTTCAAATTAAATACATTCATATCATATCAGATTTATTCAGATTAGACAAGTAACTAAAAAATAAAAAATTTTAAAATAAGAATAATAATTACAATAATAACAATAATAATAGCAATGTTAATAGTTATTTTTAACTAATCATAATTAATGATAATGATAATTACAAATAGTAATTAATAATAATAACTAAATTAGTAATAATTAATTTTTAATGAATAATAATGATAATAAAAATTCATAATAATATTTATTTGTAAATGTAATAATAATTGATAATCTTCATCACTAAGCATAACATTTGATAATAATAATAATAATAAATATTTATGATAATAATAATAAATATAATAATTAAAATTATAATATTTAATAATTAAAATTATAAGTAATTATAATAAAATTATTATTTTAATATTTTTAATAATAGTATACTAAAATATTTAATAATAAATATTACTATTTTTATTATTATAATAAATTATATTTAATAATGATAATCATCATCGTTAATCACAATACTTAATAATAATAAAAGTTATAATTATAACAATAATTAATAGAATTATTAAAATAAAAAATATAGTAATAATATTTAGTAATTACCATTGTAATGGTTAATAATAAAAATTACTATTGTAATACTATAAGTAATTATTAAAAAATATATAATAAATTATTATTATTTTTATTATCATACATTATAAGTAATAATCATAATCATCATCTATAATCATAATAATTAAAAAAGAATAATATAAATTACAAAAACGAATAATAATTAGTTATAAAAATATTTATTAATATAATTATTAAACTAATGATGATGATGATGGTAATCATAAATAAATAAATAAATAATAATAATAAATTATTATTGTATTGTATTAATAAAAATTATTAATAATACTTATCAATAATACTTATTAATAGTATTTAATCATATATATTATTATTATTATTTAAATTTGAATTATATTCTTTCAAATGAGATCAGATTCTTTCAGATCAGATAGAATCTATTCAGATCGGATCAAACCAAATCCATTCAGATTAATCTAGATCAGATCAAATCCATTCAGATCGTACTAGATTCATTCAGATCAGATGAGATCAGCCTTAAAAAATTCAATTCAGATCAGATCACTTGAAGAGAATGCAGCCTCACGAGTGGCTGAGAGATTAACCACGTGATACGTATGGGCAGGTTTACATTTCTTTTCTTAATTGTTTCAAAAAATCCTTTTTTTCATAAAAACAATTCTTTCATTTTTTGGGTGAGCAATTACTAAACGAATTTTGAAAATTTCCAAAACAAACTTAAAATATCGAACCGAACAAACACTGCAAAACAATAAGATCAAATCCAACGATCGATACAATATTTGAGAACGGTACGAGATAGCCTCCTATGTCGAAAATCTCAAACTGAATATATATACAAATATATTAAAAATAAATAATGTTTTTATATTTCTTCATTAAATAATAAACTTATTTTGAAAAATTGGATTAAATTCTCTGATCAATACCATATCAATTCTCTTTTCTCCACACAAACCGCAACCTTCGACATTCCACTTTATTTAAAAAAGGATGAGCTATATCGCCGAGTACCCCCTCAGACCCGGGCGGACGGTTTGAGAGGAGATAAATTAGACTTTGATCATAGATTGTGGAAAAGAGTGGAGAATGAACTTGGTAGTTGTAGAGGCGTTATGCTTAGCATAGTTGTCTTCCAGCGCAGTTGCCAGGAATCGAGCTCGGGTCTTACTCCCTTGGCACTCCTTACCTTTTCCAACTGTGCAACGCCCACCGACATATTCCATTTTATTAAAAATCATGCCAAATCAAACTCGAAATATAATTCACGGACGGAGCGAGTAATAAATATTTGAAATACTATTTTGTTATAAATCATTATCTTTAATTATAGTTTGAAATACTAGTTTAATTTGAAATACTAGTTTAATTTGTGAAATATAAACTAAGTTATAATAAGCATTTAATTTCTCATTTTTTATTTTTAATGTTTCTTTATATAAATGTACTTTCAATTTTCAAAAATAAATGGATTTTTATATATTTAAATTTTAAACTAGACACATATGTATTCATCTCGATCTGTGCTAAAATTGAAGATTGTTTATGCATCTCGAGTATCTCAACATGACTTTAGTTCATACACTGAGAGGCCTGGTAGCATAAATTAGGACTATGATGTTCTAATTATGAGGCTATGACATCTATAAAATCTACGTCTAAAATATTATTAGTCGAACAATATGATAATACAGGCGTCATAATATATTAAGACTAATACGTATAAAACAAGATAGTTGCGTCTTATAGGCTATGGATGTAACACCCCAAAATATACCCTAAAGTTTAATAATAAATTTTTTATAAATTGTAATTATGATTTTCGCCTAAAATCTAATAGGAACTAAAATGACATGGCTAAAATAATATATTTTTATAGTCAAATTTATACTTGAACTGTAGGTCTCGATGAGGTGAGTCTAACGGTATATCCCGTGCATGAATTCAAGTTGCAAAACTTAGTTACTTGACAACCTCAAGAGTGAAACGACAATCGAGTAAAAGAATAAAATACAAGTATGTCATAACATCAAAATAATATATTCAATATTAGTGTCGTTGGTTTGATCTTGCAAAAAGATGATCAACGACATATTGTTTGTCAAGTTTGGAATTATGTTTAAAAAATTATGAGTAAAATATACGTTACACTTCAATAAAGAAATAAAAAAATTGGTGATTTAACAATAAAATATTGACAATAACAATTCTAATTCCTAATCGTACCCTATTACGCATAGAACCCCATCCCCCATGTATATGCATGCCATTCTCTTTGGCCGAAAAACTTCTTATTCTTCCTTCTTCATTTCCCTTCTGTGACCAAATCGATAGAGAGAAGGACCAGACAAGCGGAGGAGCTTTGATGCTGAGAACTTAACGTTGCTTAATTCGTGGTTCATCTTCTTCAAATTTAATTGAGTTGATATATTTTCTTGCAATTGATGTTGAATTTGTGAGCATGATTATTAAACTTTTTTGATTAGTTGTGTTTTTTAGACTTGTATTGTTGAAATAAGGTAGAAGCATGCTAGGGATTTGTTTCGGGGGATTTAGATATGTTAATTACTAGATTAAATTGTTGGATATGTTTGATTACACTTGAATTATGATATGAACTGGTTAAACTTATTGGTGATATTGTATATTGAACTGGAATTGTGAAATATGTCACATGGTATGTCTACGGGATTTTGAACAGAATTGGATTTATAAGAAGATTTGAATCACCATTAAGCTAAGATTTAGAATTTAGGCCTGGTGGGGCAAGCTTTGCGTAACTCACAGGTCTTAGGTTAAAAACGTATGTACGGGAGTCCGGGATCTACCTAAAGTAGGTTAATGTAGTAAGAGCATGCAAGATTTGAACTGAAACAAATGAATACTTAATCATAACTTTGAATGATGATATTTACTGATTTTTCAAATATTGTATGATTATATACTGATGCATGCTAGTTATTATCTGGCTCTAGCATTAGATATATTCTCACTCGACTTTCAGTCGAGCGTGTAGTCTTTGTTGTCTTTGACTACACTCAAGTATGAATCAAGGATTGGATGAACACCCTATACTAGTGGTCGGTGATGCCTTGCGAAGTGGATAGCCCGAAGTTGTTTTAATTTGAATTAATTACTCAATTGACTTTATTTTAGTTAAATTACAAGAATGATTATGTGTTGATATATACTAGTTTTCACTTATAATAATAATAGTATTAAATCAATATTATTGCTAACATTACTACACACGTAGAACAATTGAATGAAGTAAAATATCAATTGAGAA